ATTCACACAGTGTTTTGTGTGAATGCTGCCCCCTGGAGTTGTGCAATTGGACTTCAGGGGATGGGTTGGGGGGGGGATGGAGAGCAGAACAAAGTGGGAACGCAGGAAAGGGTGCAATCAGTTCTGCCCAAAGAGGAAATTTTAACGGAGATTTTACAATTCTCTCATCAGAAATTGTTATGGAGATTTAAAAATTTTCTCATCTTCAGAAGAACGTCCCTTTCTGTATTTGTGGAAGAAATGAAGTCAGAATGTGCAACTTCTTTTTAATGCAAAACTTCTTTCCAACTTTCATTAACAAAGGTGTTTCCAAAACTTTGTTCGGAGGCTTACACAGAGAGTCTTCTTCCATTTCACACACTGTGTTGATCTGAAAACTCCACTTTCAGCATGATTCTTGCAAGTGAGTGGACAGGGCCTGTTCAGGGGAGACTTCAGATTCCCCTGGAACCCGTGACACTGTGTGTGTCCACACTGCCAGGTATGGCGAGAAAGAACTGATGAATTGAAACAAAATATACTATTTTGATAGAGGCACCCTTGGCAGGAAGGTGATAAGAGAGCTTTGGAGCTTCCCATCGAGTCGTCTGGAGGGCCAGTGGGTGCTCCCTGTCACAGGTGCGCATCATGACATCACAGAGGCCAGGAGAAAGGAGTTATGTCAAAGCCAGAGTGAGGATACGGCACTGCTCTGAGGGCACTGGAGCGCTCACTCACTGAGAAGTACAGCAGAGTCTTAGCTGTAGTGAAGGGCTTTGTGATAAGGATGGTTCTGTGCATTATTACTACAATGCAGGTGCCCTCGGATGTCTCAGAGGCCAGGAGCGGCTGAGCTACGTCTGATTAAACAGTGCCTCCCGTCACCAGTGGCCGATAATCCGCTCTCATTCTTAGCTGGTTGGCATAACCTCCAGCCTCAGTTTGTAAAGCCAACGACAAGCCAGTGTTGGCCCGGCTGGCTTCCTTTGTTGGGAATGGCAAACACTGTGGAAACACGATACATTTGCTCCAGGCTGAGAGGGTCACGTAGCTACTACCTAAAGCCGGATGAAAGGCATCTTGATAATGCTTGGCCACCAAGGAAGGTGACCTTAAAGGAAGCATTCACATTACTTGGGTCCCCCCAATGGGGGCGAGTCTACAGCTTCTTGCTCTGTTTTCACTGGGCCTGCCAAATCTTTCTGCACAGTCCTTAACTTCTTCCATCCCTGTGCTCCAATGAGTTGCTAATGTTTTCTCTAAGGACACTGGCCATTCAGGAGCTCCATGCACCACAAATGGCAGCTTTTCTTCCATTTGTCTCACCCCTTTTGTCTGCAGACTGAACTGTGAACCTGTGCCGTCACTCACAATGACAAGAGATGCACACGGACCCTTTCCAGCCCCTTCTTCCTGCGGCAGCAAGGAGACATTTACAACAAAGATGCCAGCAATCCAAGGCTCCAAGGCCTGAGGGGAGACACCAAGTCTCCACATTCTAGGTGCAGCAAAGCCCAAAGCTTAGCAGCAAATGGAAGCTGAGTCACCCAACCAACCCCATGAGTTTTCGTTTTCTATGGCTAAGGTTGCACACACTCTGCGCCTGGAAGAAAGAGCACAGCCCATACCGGTGCTTACCCGACCGGTGTCTTTAGAACAGCCAGGTGAGGGAAACACGGCCCAGTGCGGGTCTCAGTTCTCCACAACATTTGTCATGTCCCAGTGGCCAGGTATCGACCTGTCATTTCTCTAGCTACTTCCCCTAAACATTAAGTTGAACCAAGCAAAGTTGCACTTTTTGTGGGTTAAGAAATATAAAACAAGAAAGAACAGTGTTATGTGGTTCATCTTAATGGGAAGAACTGAGAAGAGCGAACATCACTGAGGTGACTTCTGTGTTGCAGGCCCTCTGTGGGCACTTTGGCTGCGCTGCTGCTCTGAATTTCCATTCATGCCATCATGTCGAGGTGCTAGTATTTCCCCCTTTTGACAGGTGAGGCAATGGAAGAGGTTAAAGAAATTGCCCTGAGACTTAACACGGACGGCTGAGATGGGAACCCACCCCTGTGTGCTTCTAAGGCCTGAATACGTTCCCCTCTGCCACGTGGAGATTTCACTTTATAAAACCACTCATAAGGCTCACGGGTGGTTCGTTCAAACTAAAGAATAAGTGACACCATTTCCGTGTAAAAAACAACCGAGGCAGATACTATGCACTACCCGATCAAATGACCCCCAGTGACTCCCTGCTTATGGTTACATACAAAGTCACTGAGGTTCTCAGTACTCTGCTCCACTCCCCTTCTGGCTTTAGCCCCGTTTGCTTCCCTGGCACCCCATTCTCCAGCTTAGATAGCCTTAGGTCACAGCTTAGATAGCCTCATTTACATGGTGACCACCTCTCCAAGGTACATTCTCTTCCTAAAATCATCCACCCAGTCTGTAGAATCAGCTGCAGGAATTTTATCCATCCTTTGAAGCCTACTTTGAATGCCTCCTGGTCTGTGAATTTTTCCTGGTTCCCCTAGAAGATGTAAACACTTGCTCCTCCAAACTTCCACAGCCCCTTGAATGCCTTTTTGAGGTCTTACCGCTCTGGTCCTACTGGTCATGTGGCTGCTTGAACGCTTGCCTCTCTCCCCCCTTAGAGAAGGGATCTGGGGGGAAACTCATTTTGCAAAGGACCAGACAGTAAATATTTCAGGCACTTCTGACCCCACAGTACCTGCCTGGCACAACTACTCAACTCTGCTGTCGTATTGTGAAAGCAGCCACAGATAATAACTAAATGAATGTGCTTGGCTATATTTCAATAAAACTTTATTAACAAAAACTATCGGCAAGTTGGATTTGGCCTCAGTGTGCCATGATTCTCCATGGTCAATAACTGTGTCTTCCTCGTGTCTATTTGCTGTGCTGCAGTGGCACAGGTGGCACTCATAAATGTTTGTGGAACTAAATAGAATTTTTAATTGTCAGAATCAGAGATGCTACTGCAGTTATCACTGAGGCCCTGAGTGCTCCGCAGACTCTTCTCTTCCTGCAACTGTTGCCTGCACTGGACACTGAGCTGACAGACAGAACCTCTTCATCTGTGGCTGGTTTTCCTACAGGCTCATCCTGGAGCTGCAAAGGCAGGGACTCCTACGGAGCCACAAAAGCCATTTTGCCAACCCCTTCTGACAGGTGGGAAAACGCCCATAAAATCTGCAGTTGCAGAATGCCACCTTGGGGGGGGGTGATCTGCTAAGAAGCTACACAAGGTGATTTCTGACTCAAAAGAAAAGGGAAAGTGGGTCCCAGCTCCCAGGGTCCGTTTTCTTTCAATGGAGCAGCCGGTTACTGACTTCGTAAGTGATCTGTAACGGAGAGGCGCTTGCCCCTCGCAGGCTTCACTCACGGATTTAGCTGCACGGTTATATGCAGAGTAGATCTTCAGAGGTTTATGCATCTGTCCACAGGGTAAATTCCAAAACACAGTGGCTCCCACAGACCATATTCCCTAAGGCCCAGGGCACCCTTCTTTATTCACTGATGATGTTTTGTGCATCAAAACACTCTGTCGTTCAAGTTCCTGGCGTGTAGGTTATCCATCCTGGCTCCATACATATTGTTAGTTCCTAGCGTTCAGTCAGCTCTGAATCACTTCCTTCTTTCTAAATCACTTAATCACAGAGAAGCTCTATATCCTACTGATCAGGAGTCATCAGTCTGTTATAATAAAAGACAAAACAAGAACATAAAAATGTTCTCCAGGAATGTGTAATGACCAGCACCCGAGTGTCTGCAGTCATTGCTACTCTCTTTACACGAGTACAGCTGACCACTGAACAGCATGGTCTCAACTGCACTGATCCGCATATTCGACAGGCATACCCTCGGTCCTCTGTATTCCTGAGCTTTGTATCACAGACTCGACCAGTCCCCGGATGTGCTGGGCAGACCGTATGCATCGTTCTATCCCATTCTACACGCAGGACTTGAGCATCCACAGATTTCAGGAACCACACGGGAAGGGGGTGTCCTGGACCCAGTCTGCGGCAGCTAGCGAGAGGCAGCTGCAGTTAGGTCTTTTGGGGGAGTCGAAGCTTATACATGGACTTTCGACCGCGTGGGGCTCAGCACCCCTGACCTCCGCGGGGAAACTGCACATCTAATCTGTTTTATTTTCATCTGGGATCATGGCTAGAGAATCAGGGTGGATAAAAAGGGTTGGTATTTAAGCACTAACAGATTAAGAATCAATTCGGGAGCTTTAGTGATAAAACACATCGATTCCTGTTCCTAACCTCTCTCTGCGGCTGAACTTTCCGCAGACCCAGAGCCCACTGCTCTGTGTGGAAGACTGCAGGTCGCAGGTCACCGCACTGGTAGGCAGTGCGGGTAGGCAGACGACGAGTCAACAGACTCAAAAACAAAGTCTTGTTCTCTGCTGTCAAAGCGCCCAGGCTTTCCCACCCTTGGCTAGTGAGAGCTCTCAGCCTGATACAGCTCGCTGCCCTCGGGCCACCCTCTCCTCTCAAAAAGAAACATTGGGTTATTTTAAAGCTCTGGCCTGGGCAGGCTCTCGGGCAAGCTCCTCCAGCTGCTTTCTGGAACAATCCTAACTGCGTGTCTGCAGTGAAGCTGCCACAGCTTTCTCCTAGGAAATGAACCATGTTTCTATAACCAGGCTGGGGTCGCCACTCTGTTGCTATGAAAAACAAACTGTTTGATCGTCATCATCTTTAGATGATACTCATGAATACTAAGACAACTGAAGGGAACTCTTGATAAAAATCGCCTCATTCACCCTGTGTGCTTCTCTTCCTTTCCTTTTTAGCGACTCAGAAAGGTTGGAGCTGTGATTCCTTCTCCCATCACCTGGGCAAGGCCCTCAGTTTCGGGCCTGCGCAGCGGTGACCCAGCAGAAGCTGGTGTTCCTGCCGCGTGGAAGGAAATGAGGTGAGGAGAGAGGCAAGGTGGGGAGTAAAGGAGAGGCCCATGTTCAGCAGGTCCCCAGAGCCGATGGTATTACTCACATGTGCTGGGAAGCATTGGGGTACAGTTTTGAAAACTGTGGGGCCGAGTCCTCGGGGCCGTGGGGCGCAGCGTGGCTGATCACCATCATAATGGGCCTATGGGGATACATTCTCTTAGACATTTTGAAGTAATTAATGCTCTCGTTAGTGATTAAGTCTGTGAAGTAGTCCTGAAACATACATTTGACACAAAACAGAAATTACAAAAGGTGACATTCATCAGATCACATTTGAATACGCTCTCCTCAGAAGCAACTTGCTGAATGAGGAGGTAAGTCTAAAGCAGGAAAAAACACTGGACTTCCTAAGGCAGCAAAAACACTTTCCCTAACAGGGAAAGATCAGTTGCCAGGAACTTTCTAGAGTTGCTAGCTTGGTAACACACAAGAAATGCACAACTTAACAATTAGGAAAAAAAAAAAAAAAGAAGTCCAGTCCTGTTTGCCCAAGATAATGATCCGATCTGGCAATGCCAGAGTACATGAAATACCGGATACATATTTCACTCTCAGACTTCGTTGATGTAATCCATTGACAAAAAATTTAATTACTTCAAGGGCAGGAAACACTCACACCCACTACAAGTTCACAGTTGCAGAACACACACACACACACACACACACAAATGAACAAACAAAAGATCTTTCCTTTAAATTAAAAATTCACCTGTGGGAATTATACAATAATCGCTAAGGAAAACCTTGGCCAAAATTTGGGCGCACAGGGAAAAGCTGCAACATTTTTATCAATTAATTTACTGGAAACTCTAAATATGGGAAACAGTTGATTTCCTGTGGATTATCCTCTGTTAATTGCACAACTGAAATGATACAGCTGCTGGGATTAGAGCCTGACTTGTTAGTAAAATGACAACCTGCAGTCTGAGGGGCTGATGCCAGTCTGTAAGGGGGAGGGAATAACTGGAATGAAAAGGAAAGGAAAGATGAAAACTTAAATTAAACCACCTGCCTCTCTAAGTGTGTGTCAATGGCCTGGAGCTCCAGCTTAAACTTCAGCAAGTGCCCAGGCAACAGTTCACAGAGCCAGAGGCTTGCCTGGCATGACTAATCACATGTAGACTTAAGGACCAGAACAGCTGCAAAAGCAGTGCCCAAGGGACAAAATCTGTGTCACATGTCACTGTTAGGACAAGTCCACAGGCTACCACCTTCTTCCATGGGAGTGTCTGTTTCATTCCTTTCCTCACTAAAAAAGATATATTCTTTCTGGACACGGTTGTCTTTGACACTTAATCAGCTGTGGTAATGGGCAAGTTACGCTGATTTAGTCTTGGGAGGGAATCTTGATTACTTTGCTCTCCTTAGGACAACAGGGAAAGAAAGGTTAATAGCTTGAACAAGGAGCATGAAAAGCATCCCCACAGATAAAAAATGATAGCGATGACAATCAGCGCACTTTGTAGGATGCAGCTCCAGTCTGCCTCCGAGGTCCCAACCGGCTCTCAACTTTGATGAGCCTGGAAGCCTATTAGCAGTGTTTGTGAATTCATTTGCATTCATTGTTTTCTAAAGGGCATGAAAGAGGAGAATCACACCTTATCTCCCACCAAGTCCCCTGTGCTCAAATCAGGCCAAGCATAAAGACAGCAAACGTGCCCAAATTAAATTGAGTTCCCTCTTTCTCATTTCCACCAGGGGCGCTTTTTATAGTGATCTGTGTTAGAGCAGATTCTCGGTTTTTAGGTAAATGAGGAAGAGCTGAGTATGGCTGGAAGGGAAGAGGATATTTTAGGCTAATTAGCACGCTACCTTCAAAGATAGTTTCTGCTCCACTCCTGTGATCAGAGAATTGTTGTATTTACGTTGGCCATCACAGAACCCTGGGGAATTTTAAAGTCTAATTTAGGACCTGTTTGTCAGAGAACTGCGGGGGCACGTCAATTCCAGCTTCCAGGAGCCGACTTGGAGATTTGGGGGCAGACAGGTTTAGACGCTGGTGGACTCTGGCTGCCGCGGGGCAGGTGTCCTGGCCTCAGCCCTCTGTTCGGTCAGATAGGAGTGAACGAGGGGGGTGTGGGTTCCCCACCTTTGATTATTCCACCTGTCTGCTCTTATTTTTACATCTAAATCTGAAGACAAATTGACTTTCATCCCAGTGAAAAGCAAAACAGTGCAAGAGGAACATTTGATTATATGGACAAGTCCTCTGGGTATAGGAGGGAAACCAAAAATTATCACAAGCCAGAGTGGAGGCATCTATGATTTCCTTGATGGTACTTTCATCAAAGGCTGATTGCCTTGTGTTCTGATGAGGGAAAAAATTACTATGTAAAGTCAGTGTTCCCTGAGAGTCTTTTCTTGCCTGGAGTTTAAAATTACCTTAAAATTTCTCATTCTAACATTGTGAGAGCGTAGAAAGCCAATCTTGTGGATAGGTTAATTTGCTGAAAATGGCTGTTCCCTATTATGCACAAAGTAAATTGATGCAGTGTAAAAAGTGCCTGAAAATTACCTTTGCATAATCAAATCCATGCTTTTCTTTGATGCCATTGCGACAAACAGTGTAATTATAGAAACGAGAATTCTTGATTAATCCAAGCCATTCTCGCCACCCGGGAGGGATGTAGCTGCCATTATATTCATTGAGGTATTTTCCAAAAAAGGCTGCAATGGGAAAAAGGGATTATTTTTCTCATATGAAATGAATAATCATAAATAAACACATAAATGCATTAGTATGAAATGATGGCTCCAGAAAGAGACACTAGAACAAAAGTTAACCTAGGTAATAGTGGATGCCAAAATAACGTTAGGGTAATTGTCCCGTCCTCTGGTGAAGTGACATACACACATTTTCCTCTCGAATAAATAAAAGCGGCCCCCAAGTACATGGATTATAATTCAACAGAATCACCACAATGATCATGGTACTCTGGGGACAGCTATTCTTGTGGCTTTACTGGGAGACCGCCAGATCGTACCCTTTTGTCAACTGATGTAACAGAGGAGGAGCCAGGGTGAGATTTGGGATGCTACTCCTGGGCACACACATTACTGGAGAAGTGCAAGTTCAGTCTTTGTAATAAGTTTTCTTTTAAAACTTACTGTTGAAGAGTTGCAAATTACAGAAACACCACTGAAAAACTTGTCTCTCTTTTTGCATAGCCCAAGAGTACAAATTTTCTAAACCAAGAGACCACAGTAAAGGTTGTTTTTATGGGACACGGTCAATGTTTTCAAGCGTCATGTATTTCATGTCATCTGTGTTTACATCACGTGTATTTTACAAATGGGTATGGCTAACGCCTCATAATCGAAAATTCTGGCAACCTAGAGCTGTTACACAGGTGACTGATGTTCACAGAATAATTGTATAATCGAAGTATATGCACCCTAACTAGTCCACTGATCACGGAAAAGGCCATTCAAAGGACTTCACATTTGTAACTTCGGCACATCACATCCAAGAAAGGCCACGGTGTGACAAGGCTTACTGGTTCTTTTGGAAAGGCACCCCATGAATATGGCCCATTGCCAAAGATAAGGCTCAGGGAGTGGCCACAGGACAGGGAGGCTGTTTGGGGTTTCAGGAACAAAATGGGTTGGATCTTAAAGTTGGGTACCTTGTAACTATCTGAGGGTAGTCATAAGTGTATTGTTGGCAGACTTTTGAGAGAGAAAGAGGGCTCCATTGTAACTATTGTAATTACACCAGGAAAACAGGTATAAATGAGCACAATTCAGGGTAAACCTGAATGTCTGATCACTCTGTTAGACACATACACGGCCTTCCCCTCAACTATGAAGGACTAGACAACACGATATTTCATATATGTATACATGGGGATACCTATGTGTGTCCCCACACATGTGGATGTATCTATATATACATCCACACATGAATGCAAATTTTAATTTTTCTTATTTTAGAAGGCTTGCATCTTTAATTTTGGAGAGAGGCCATGTCCTCTGTTTTCCAGGCCAAAGCCACTTCTTGGCTTCATTAAAGCAGGTTTTACAGGTGCTTCCACTCACATTCACCAGGAAAGGAAGCTGCTGGGTGACTAGTTTGGGATGATGGAGACGGGCCCTCGAGTCCAGCCACTTCACTGGTATTGCCCTTAAAGCACACATTTCTGACCTTGGACTTACCCACTGTACATCATTTCCATGTCTCCAAGGGATAGATATTTACCTTGCTTCCATCTTTGATATACAATATCTCCACCTGGATGTTTTACTTGCCCCTTAATGCGGTCATCCAAATGGAATGGATCATTTTCCCTTCCAAATTACTTCTCAGCTGTCCTTTAATTCCCGGAGTAGCATAGTCACCTGCTGGGCAGCCAGGTGTGGCAGCCCCGAGCCTTCCCTGATTTCCACCTGCTCCTCACTGGGCAGCTGCCATGGCCCACAGGTCCTATACTATCTGGACGGTAACTCCTGAACCTTGCCACCTTCTGAACACCAACTCCGGTCACATCCCCCTTTTCTCACAATCCAGACAGAGGCTTGTCACTTGTAGGATCCAGTTTAATTCAATAAAATGCTGTCCGTGGCCTTCCTGGGGTCAGAGCAAAATCATTCTCTCCCAAGCCCCTCTGGCATGTTCGTGTCCCTCCCTCCAGCTCCGCTTTACTCCGGTTTCCATCTTTTACCTGTGTCTGTGCTACTGTCTTCATCGCCCTCTCTGTGTACCAAGGCCAGGGCGCACGCCCCCACTCCCTGGCTTTGGCCTGTATCAAATTTATGCCCGTGGCTTTAAGGCATCCTCTCTTTCTCCCTAGTGCTGGACTCATGTTCTCACAGAAGCCAATCCCTCCTGGACCGTAAGGCTCTTTTGAGGGCAAACACTGCCTTTGCCTCCTCTCTGTACTGCGCGCCCCCACCCTTGCTCACTGTACAGGGGCCCCATCAATTTTGTTTCTTGAACTGAGGTTCACGGACCCTCATGTATTCTGGGCTTTTATAGGTTCTAGACTTGTTAAATTTTGTGGATTCTAACTTTAACGTTTGATTTAGTCTAAATATTTTCATAGTCTAGAACTTCAGAGTTGAAGCTGACATTTCTCAGGTTGATTTTGTTTGAAGAGTTGACTCCAGGCCATGCGTACTGATTTGCTGAATGAATGTTTATCTGTTGAATCTGTGACTGAGGGAACGAATCAAGCCCTCCCTCAGCCAGATGCCCCGGCCCGAGGACCCTGCCAGGGCCTGGGCAGGACAAAATGTCAGAGGCTCTCACGCCAGATATGACTCACGATTTCCTTCCGAGCTGACTCTGTGCAGCGGGAATTCTTCTAATGAGGGGTTCTTGTCTTCAGAGACTAACCACCTTTTCACACAAAACCACAGGATGAGGTTCCTTTTCCGACAAAAGCCAACACAGACTCGGAGTCGCGGGCAGCTGCCCAGCACCACACCCCGGCCGCACTTCCCCAGAGGGGACTGTTTCCAGGAACCTTCCACTCAACAACATCAGGCCCAGCTCTTTCCTCTGGCCTGCGCCTCATCCCTGGGGGGTTATTCCATTTTTCTCTTCTTTTGTTTTCAAAGAAGTAAAGCATCATAGTGGTTCAGGACAAAACCCAGCCTGCCTGGGTTCCAATCCTGCTTGCTACTTGTTTAGCTATGTGTCTACGGGCGGGTTACTTAATTTTCTCTACCCCCAATTCGTTTTCCTAAAGCCATGAAGATAGTAATAATAATAGTGATAGGACTGTTGTCAGGATTAAGTGAGCTAATACATACATAAAGTGCTTAACACAGTGCCTGGTGCGCAACAAGGGCTTTTAAAAAAGTGCTTCTACTGCTGCTGTTATTATTATTAGTATCACCATTATCTTTATCCTTTCAACTCGGTGTTCCAATTTTAAATAATTTACCATTCTGCAGTGCAAGGAACTCGCATCCTAGAGTTCCATACTTGTGCATTTGCAAACATTTATTGAGAGGTGACAGTATTATCTTTCCTGATCTGACTTACGTTGTGACAACAAATTCTCTCCCATTGGCCTTCCATTTTCCTGCTACACTTAGTTTTATTTCTTGGTTTGTTTGTTTTTTCCCCTCTCAGGGCAGCCATGCCAAGCCCTTCCTTCCCTGTTTTCTCTGTGAGGTTATTTTGTTCTGTTTTCTACCCATTTCCATGGCTGTTCCCTTCCCTTTCATCCTCCCCTTATAAACCATCTTGCAAGTCTCTTTGCAGCGCTTACGATTCACGTCAGAACTCCCTCCAGGTTTCAGTGTCTTTGTGTTAATGGAGTGTAAAGAATGCACTTAGTTTTCCAGATGTGCCCTCACCCGTCACACTTGTTCTAAGAGAGACCAGGACCTCGTGTGTCACAAAGAGACACCCCCATGTTGGCAGCTTCGAGTGACTCTGGCCTCTCTCGTTGCCTCCTGACATTGAGACTCATTTGTAATCACTCCTGGCCTCTTCCGACATCAGGCTTCCTGGCAGCGCTCTGCAATTGATTATCCGGACTTCTAATTATTTTCCTCCAGATATATTAAATCTCTTTCTCCTTCCCTAAGGTGAATTTTACTTTCTTGCCCAAAGTGCCATTATATGAAGTGTAGTTTGAAGATATTCTCTCCTTTGACACTGGTCATTCAACTTAACTCACTACTATACCATCTGAATGGCTCACTAGCATGGCCCCAACCCTCCTCCTACGTCACTTTCTTTTCTGAGACGCCGCTGAACACGCCCCTTCACAGCTGCGTGAGAAGGTGATGTGGGGGTTAAGTGTCAGGACAAAGATCACAAATACCTGATTATAATGATTTTTGACTTTAGGCCATGCTACTCTGTCCAGCACTGTCTGTGCCAAAATACATAGAAAAATTTCCTTGAACTGTCTGAAGCCAAGGCTTTTGTTTTAAGTTAGCAATAAGAACCGCACAAAAGATTTCCGATACTGTGGAGGAGTTAAATCTTATTTAATATAACAAACGACGCACTAGCTGACCTTTTACTCTATGTAATCGATCCACTTGGGTTATAAGATTTCACTGGTTGCAACTAAAAATATACATAATTTTCAACCAATTAAAAATTATGATTTCCTCTTATGTCAACTTGTATACATGATTTTGGTTTCCCCAATTCAATTGTTAAGTCTAATGAAGACAGGGACCATATTTTATATCTCTTCATACTCCAGTGTCAACCGTAGCTTTAAGCATGCTATTGTTTAATAAATATCTATGTTTATGTACTTAACATGAAAATCTATAATACTAGTTTGTCTTACTTTAAGTGAACTCTACATTAACAAAATCCCATATTAGAGAATAAATATGCTTGCCATGAGTAACATAAATACATTTTATAACATAAAAAGACATGAAATTAGAAAACTGATTAATTTGTCTAAATTGTCTTGTTACAAAAGAATTCTCTACAAAAGGATTTATTGTAGCTCTCTACTAAATATTGCCCCTTCCACCTCAGTGACTTGTATAGTAGAATTAGCAGGACTAAAATTTAATTCACATGCTATTTCATGTATCATGCGTTCTGATTATATTTTGAACACTAACATTTAAAAAATGACTCAATAAAATAATTACAGTGGTTATAATAAAATTACAGTATAATTTTGGGCAGGAAAGACAACTTGGGAATCCTTCTCATCCCATGTCTGCGTTTTCTCTGTTGGGAAAACTGGTCTCTCCCCAAGTTCTCAGAGTGAATTAAAGGCTGAGCTAGGACGCGACTCCCGGCATCCGCAGTGTGTGTTCAGGGTTTTTGCTAACACTCGATGCAAAACCTCTGAAATGCGGATTAGCACCTTTACTTTAAAACCATGCTGGGTTTCACATGCCTGTCTCACAAGAAATTCAAAGTAAAAACATTCTGAACATGAAGTCAGGCAGGATATTCATCTTTATGACAGATAATCCGATGTCATTCCCGGTTCAGTTGTTGGAACATAAACTGCAATGGACATGTTTCTGCATTTTCCCTGCTTGAACGTTTAAGCTGTTGTGGACTCACGTTTTCCATGAGTAAGTTTAGAAAAATTTAGACTATAGTCAGTCCCAAAATATGCCTAGTTCTGAAAAAGAAAAATCATGTCATACAACAGTAAATATAATATTGGGTCAATTCGATTCATTTAAATCCATGTATTCTGGATTCCTCCCAAAGTAAGTCTCATAGTAATTTGTCTTCTCGGAGCTGTTCTTCATAAATCTGATTGCTGCTTTGTGTTTTCTCTCAATGGGTATTTATGTATAATGCATATTTCAGCTTCCTTCATTATTTTTCTTAGGTTTTTAGCTAAATGTTCCAAATAATGTATTCATTATTAAGAAAAACAATAAAATATACGTTGACTCTTTTCTGACTAGACTCATAAATAATTGCACTGATTTAATTTCCCAAGGTGCCTGTCATCTTGATATGCTTATTCGTCTATTTTCAACTGTGTCAATGCCCCTGCTTAGATCAATAATTATCATTACAAATACTTCTTTACTTCCCGATTGTCTCAGACACTTCAATATGTTCCCAGCAAAGATAAATTTAAACTCTACAGATCTCTATCACTGCCATTTTAGCCTTCCATTTATAATTGTTCTGATTTACTAAAGAGCACATCAAAATTTATTTTCTGCACTAAGTATTTGGGTAAGTCCTTGTTACCCTTTGAGAAATTCCTGTTACTTTGTAGGATGACTCACTATAAATTCCAGTATTACCTAAGAGTCTAGACCCCTGGGGAGAAGGTTGGCTTCAGAATCTGCCTTAGTTTCCAAGAACAAATCCCCTCTCCCTGGAAAAGACAACTGAATGAACAAAAGGTCAGACACTCGCCGTGGCAAAGCCTTAGGATGTGCACATTTGTCCCAGACCTCACTGGGAGGTTAAGGCAGCACGCCGCAAAGAGCTCTGGTGCCTGGCCCTACCCTTAGAACATCAGATGTGTCACTTCAGCAAACCACCTTAATCTTGTGGGTCTAAGTTTTCCCGTTTGAAAACAAGGGAATCAAACTAAATTATGTCTGAGTTTTATTCAAGCTCTCGCAATCCACTGTAGGGCGGATACGGGACAGCATAATTAAAACAAGTACCAGAATACACGATGCTTCTTAGGAGCAACTGAGTTGTTTACATCTTTGGGACCCAGGGTACTTTGTAATGGGTGGTGTTTCCATTTTTGCTTTTGCCACCAGGAAGCTTATTTTTAAATACCCGGCCTTTCTCTTTAACTCCATGCCATGTAGGTTGTATGCTAACCTTGGCCCTGACTTTAACTATTTTTCTTCATTTCCATTTGCCAGCGTCCTTGTTGTGCTGCATCCTATTTTGTTTTATGTGTCTCTGTGGGGCACTTTGGAGTGAGGCATGATAGATACATATGCAGAGAAGTAAGACAATGGGAAGAGGAAAGACTTTGGAATCGGATGTGATAGATTCAGTCTATCACTGACTAGCCTGTGTTCTTAGACAATGAACTCTCTCAAGTAGCTGTTTTTCACTGGTAACATGGACAAATCCTTTCTTTCAAGGTTTCTTTAAGAATTAGGTGACAAAACTGAGCTAAAACGCCTGGTATAGGGTAGCTAATGTCTTCCTTTTCTCCTTTTCCACCCCAGCTTTATTGAGCTATAACTGACAATCAAAAATTGTATATTTTTAAGGTACACAACCTGATGGCCCAATATACATAAACACTGTGAAGTATTTACCACCATCAAGCCAACCAACATATCCATCACTTCACCTTTACCATTTTCCTGCCCCCTCACTCCCCGGGGTGGGAATGCCAAAGACCCACCCTCTTAGCAAATTTCAAGTACATGATATAATCTTGTCAACTACATCCACATTGCTGTGTGCCACATCTCCAGAACTTACTCACATCCTCTTTTCCCCCTTTCTTGGATTAGCCCTGGAACAAATTAGCAGACCATGGTTGAGCGCTCCAGTCCTGGCAGGACACTCTGAGTCACCTCTCATCTCTGCTTATTACGGACATCATCCATTTGCTCTGGATACAGTAACAGTGCCAACCCCCCAAGCTGCTTGTCCACTGCTAGGGATTAAATTGTAGGGAGCCCAGGAGCTGAAAGGTCCTGATGGTGCACAATCCTTCCCAGGAACAAAACAAAATTGGGTGGTTAAAATCGGGAACGGGGCATTAGGGGGAATCACTGTTGATCTTGCTTCCGAGTTGGTCACACAGTTTTTGAAATCCCCACCTCAGTTATGAAACAGAACCAAGTCCATTTGCTGCCTGCAGACCTACAAGGATGCTTGATGGATTTGCAAATTGCTTTAGAGCTCTCAGATGGAAGGTGCTATAAATTTAAATCACTTATGTGAGAAAACACACTCAGGATAAAGCGCTCTGAGTAACCTAGTTTCTTTCCTAAGTATAAGCGAACACCCTTGGGATTCATGGGAAGATCTTCCTGTATGAGTGGCTATCTTAAAATATCTGTGAATGACGATGCTGTCATAGTCACAATGAATATTTTCATCTATAAATAACAAGTATTAAGTGCCCACAGGGCGCTCTGCAAAGGAGCCAATAGCCACATGTTTCCTGAGATCAGGGGGAAAGATTGATTTCATTTTTTGAAGAGATTTAACAGAATACATTTGTCTGAAATCCTTTACTTTTCAATCTTTGGGCTAGAGGATCTGTAAAATCATTTCCAACAAGCTTTAATGATAACGTCATTAATTCTCATGAATAAATCCAGGTGGTTCTGAAAAATCTGTTTTGCACTGCTGCCCCTCCGAAAACACCCTGGCTGCCTTCCGCTCATGAAGGAATGCTGAAGGCACCCGAGTGGTGGCAGGGTGAAGGCGTCGGGGGGTCGGGAGAGCAACCTTATTAGAAGGAGCCTTGCTTCTTCCTTAGAAAGACTGGCATGACGGTCATGACCTCGCTTGGAAGAGGTGTCCGATTTTCAGAAGACCAACTCACCCAAACCTTCCTCAGGCCTTATGGAGGTTAAACAACGAGAGGAGGTAAGGCAATTGCCTTCCTTTCTTGGGAGATGGAGGTGAACATCTGAAACCTCAAACGGCCATAATGTGAGCTAAAAAAACTCCAAATCTTACTAACTAAATGAATCAATAAGATATGTGTCATTGGTTTGTTCATTTAATGATTTATTAATTCAGTAAATGATTGTAATCATCTGTGCCCCAGACCCTGGGGGAGGGGCTAAGCAGTTGATGATTTCTTACTGGAACTATCAGCAGAAATTTGCCAACATCTAAGATCAAGCTGTACCATGATCCTTTGAGATTTGGGAGGTTGAGGTAAATAAGCAAATGGAGTGAAACCTTATCAGTGGTAGGTTCTCCTGGAAAATTCCAAATGCTAGGTGCTCTGATGGGTGAGACTCTTTCATAACATGTCCCCTGAGAATCATTCTGAGTTTTCCCTAAGGCACCTCTCCTTGGTACATCCTTCAGAGTGGAACAGTGAGGGATGGGGAGGACACTGATACAGACGAGAACAGCCTAAATACTTCCATCGAGGAGCTGATTGGAACTTCATCCATTTCATCACACACTGCCTTTGCCTGTGTCTAAGACCTTTTATCAAAGGGTCAGGGGCTAGAAAGTGCACCCTTTACCTGTTCTGTAGCCAGTGTTGTTAAGATACACAGCAAAAGTCCGAGGTTCGTGCATCGCCTGCCACGAGGGTGAGGAGCAGTTCTCGTTGTTGGTGTAGACGTTGTGGTTGTGCACGTACTTCCCCGTGAGCATGGAGGAGCGGGAAGGGCAGCACATGGGCGTGGTCACAAAGGCGTTGGTGAAGGTGGCCCCTCCCTGCTCCATGATCCTTCTCGTTTTGTTCATGACTTGCAGGGACCCTGAAAGGCACAATTCCAGTGTCGTTTGCCAGAGCCTGCCACACAAACATTTTTGTCTTGTCACTCGGTGACTCTGTTCTCCTGATTTATTAATTTCCGTCCCTTGGTTTGAAGAAGTCTATTAATTTGACCAGCTCTCATTTCCAGAATAAAATTAACTATCTGGGATCCTACCATCGCAAGTATTTTGCAGAATAATAAACACATTCTAGCTTCTTCCCCCCCTTAATCACATAAGAAAAAAAATGCGAGCTAATCTGATGATTAAAGCTAGGATTCTAGATACAGAGCAGACTCAAAGCCCAGCTGTCCTTTGAAGATTCCAGAGAACAATAGCCTGTTACACAGGGCATCAGGCCCCTTGGCCCACAACACAGGCCGAGAGCTAGTGACAGTGTAGACACGACTAGATCCAGTGTTTTAATCATGTGAAAAAAAAGAGGAGAACTTCTTTTCTACCAAGTAAAAGCCCCTCCAAAAAGCCTGTATTTAATTTTTTTAAATTCTCCAATGTAACTTGGTATCCTCTAGTGAATTCACCAAATGCCTACCAGTTCTGCTATGAGGACAGCACTAGTTTATATTTGCACCTGTTTACATGTAATTTTAAGAAACAGGTTGCTTGCTTGCGAAAGAGCTGTGATTCTATTGCACTAAAAGTATTTGTATGGCAGAAAAATATTTCATTTCAACTGTAAAAGATAAAATTATAACATAAGATTGCTGAGGAAGAAAAAATTTTATTTCGATTACTCTATCCAGCCAAACACTGCAGCTGAAACACATCCAAATACTGCAGAAAAAGCACAGGCCAGAATTCAATCGTTTTTTCAGAACTTGTCAAGAAATGCACTACAGAGCCCCACCGCCAAGCGCACTGCATTTGAATCCCAGAGCCTCACATTTCCAACAGGTCCCACTTATTCCAAAGAAAGGGAGAAAGTCTATGCAGTTTTCCAGCAAGGAAGGAAATCATCATGCAAACCAGGCAAGCACTCACAGCAGAAGAGAAGTGTGCCGCCATCCCAAAAGCCACAGTTTGCCTGTTTGTTTGTTTTTTTCACATACTAGCTTTTACTATTCACATGAAATATATGTGAATAGAAGGGTTTCTAATTGGGTCTCATTAGAACTCCCTGAAATACGCCTCACTTGGGAAGATCCTAATGGTTTTTCCTCCCCTGGGTGGTGTCGTCAGGGGACTCCACAACCTTTTTGTGATCAGCCAATAACATGTCAGGAGCACCTATTTCATGCTGAACATTCTATCAGCTTTGCACTCCAGGCTGGTCCCCAAGTGCGGCATGAACAAAGGAAATGGAAAATTCTCTGCTGCCTCGGGTCTTCCACAGTAAGCTACCTAGAGAAGAACCTGCATATAAAAATCCTTGGGAATAGTTGCAAAGCAATACACACATTAGAGTGTGGATACAGCAGTCGCGGCACCTCTGAAGTTAGAGGGGACCTGGAGTGAATGTTTAATAGGGTTCTGGAACAAGAGCTGAGGACAACGAGAGGGAGGGAGAACAATGTGCAATGGGTGAAGTGGGTTGTTGGGAGAATGGAGAGGATGCTTAGAAGTGGAGTGATGAGTACCCCACACTGATTTCCTGGAACTGAATGGAACACGGAGAATGCTCTTGAAACGTGGGAAGCAGAGTTAGCGAAGAGCTTGGAGGCTGGGTAGACATGTTTGGATTGCATAGAATAGACAAAATAAAGGCAGAGTAGGTTCTTTGCCAAAGGCATAAACAACCCGGCAAGAAAAAAGTCTTTGAAAGGTGTTGCTGTGGTGATGTGGCCATGGAGGAATGTGCAGAGGAAGAATACGCTGGCCCATGAAGGATACGGGCCAGGGGTCACTGAAGCCATCAGGCCACAAGATGGTAAGAAGATGAACTGGACTATGTCACTAAAACTAGAGCGACTCTGCAAAGCAGATCCAGGGGGATGCTGTTAACGCATCAGAAGACCATGAGTTGACCAATACCTCAAAGCTTTCAGCATGGGAAGAAGGGCTGAAAAAATGTTTCGCTGTTGGTTAAAACATAACTAAGAAGAAATATGCCCTGTAGACCAAAGAAGTTCATTTTAGAAATTCTACATTTTGTTTTGGCTGATCCGACGGGGAGAGATGACTAGGGACCCGGTCACGGGAGAGAGTGATGGGCACCTGCCGAAGTCTATCACTTAGTCCCCTCTCCTCTGCAGATACCCACAGTACTTACTCATCAGAATGTCCTGAATTTTGGAAAAACTCAGAAAACATTTGTAGATGAATTTTCATTGCCTAATAATCTCTTTATTTCAAAGAATGAGCTCTCAGAGTTTCTTTCATCGGCTTAGCTAAATTCAAATTAAAAAAATGCAGTTGCAATCCATCTTTTAAGGTCCTGAATTACAAAGGTACAAATGCCAGTTTATAGCCTCATCTGGACTGCAAATATGGTCTAGGGGGTGGAAATCTGATCTAAGGTCAAATAATATAAAAATGGGCTAAAACTTAGCCCAATTCAAATCTCTGGAATTGCCCAGCCGGGACTCACCTCATTATAAGAATCGCTCTTTTCTTAATTAACTGAGCTGATGGTGTTGAGGTCCTTAACGATCCCTGCCAAAATTCTGCTTCCAACTAGTCCCCATGTCAAATGTATCAATGAAGACGTTTGGGCCCTGCCGTCACCATGAGCACTGCAGCTCCATCCTTGGGGTTCCTAAAAGTGGGCCCCTGGCTTGAAGACTCTCAGTGAAGAGGAGATCCTGAGACAATCCTTCCCAACTTTAAACATCACCTGCAGAACATGTCGAATGCCAGAATCCTGGGCCCACCCGAAGATACTGACTTAGTAGTTCCAGGGAAAGACCTGAGAATTTGCACTTGTAACAAACTCCCTGTCTGTGGACCACACTTGGAGAAGTATTCCAGGTTGGATAGAGAATCAGGGAAGCCTACAGCTGGAAGAGACTTCAGTGGCTGCCTTGTTTTAAGTGACCTAAGTGCCTTAGAGCATTTCCAAGGCCATGGGATGCTATAGACAGGAAAAGAAAGCACTGATTTTAAACTTACTCTCAGGTTCTCGGAGTGCTCCACATACATCAGCTCATTTAATCCTGACAATAACCCTTTGCAGTGGTGCTACTATTATTATTCTCACATTACAGATGTTAAAACTGAAGTGTAGAGGCTTCAATAACGTGTGGAGGGCCACACAGAGCCCAGAGAGAAGTCCAGGCGGCCTGCTCCAAGCCTGTCCCCTCAGCTGCACAGAGGCTGAACACCGGCTGTGACATTGATGCGTTCAAGACAGAGAAACAGAAATGATGTCTGCGTGCAGTCAAGATATGCCTCCTTTTATGTAGCCTCATATTTTGCATCCTCTGGCCTCTTAGGGGAGATACTAACAGACACTAATGCCTGCTTTCCGCCCTCCTGAGGGATGAAGGGATCTCAGTAGCTGAGGCCGAGGTGAAAGGTGAGTGGGCTGAAGATGGGTCTGTCTTCATTCAGTAGCTGACAGCCACGCTGGTGTTGAACACCGCCTCTGGGCTCAGCGCACTGCCTGGCTAGATGCAGAGGACGGAGTGCAGGAGTCATCCCTCTTCCCTTGGCCGAGCTCGTGTGCGCCAGGGAGGTAAGCACCAAGCACCTTCTTTTTTATGGCTGTGTGATGATTAATGCTGGTCTATAACACTGCTTTGCTCTGCCTCTATTGCCATGTGATTGAACCACTGATTTTTCATTGGGAAATGCTACCAAAAACTATTCCGTAGTACAACTCAAAATTATGCATTTATGGCTGTTGAGAGGAATAGATGGGACAATGTTCCGTCCTACTGTTGGAAGGGCAACAATGTCCTTTGTTTAAAGCTGGAGCGCCTCACCTCTCTGGGTTTCAGGCCTTTGGGGCGTAAAATGCAAATTATGTTGGTTCTTACTTATCTACGAGAACACTAATTTCATAGGAATGACCGGAAGCTTAAGATGGAAGACTTAACAATAGTTCCATAGCAGGGCTTAGGAGGGAAAGAATGAGAAGAGACAGAGCCCTGTACTTGAACTTGTGGGACAACATCTGATTTTGCCAGATTGGCTTGAGCACATTATTTATTCTTTTTATTAAATTTGTGTTTCCCATCTGTAAAATGGAGCTAGTAACAGTTCCCCTGCATAGTGCACGGCATCAATGAGGTATGCTCAGCTAAACCCCACATTTAGTTTTCTCCCGCCTTTCCTATCTCCCTCTCTGTAATCTACATCTTAATTCCAAAAGGTGGGGTGAGAATGAAGATGTTACCATAGACTGAATGTGTCCCTGAAAATTCCTATTTTGAAACCTAAGGCCCCAAGAGATAGTAGCAGGAGGTAAGGGCATTGGGAAGTGATTTGGTCGTGAGGGTGGAGCCCTCGTGAATGGTATTAGTGCCCTTATTAAAAAGAAAAAAACTGCAGCCCTGGCTGGTGTAGCTCGGTGGATTTAGCGTGGGCCTGAGAACCACACAATCGTGGTTCGATACCCAGTCAGGGCACAGGCCTGGGTTGCAGGCCAGTTCCCAGCAGGGGACTCACGAGAGGCAACCGTACATTGATATTTCTCTCCTTCTCTCCTTCCCTTCCCCTCTAAAGATAAATAAATAAAATCTTTAAAAAAAACTGCAGACAGCTCCCTTGCTCCTTCTACCACGTGTACTCCTTTCACGACACAGTGAAAAGACAGATATTTATGAACAGGAAATGGGTCATCACCAGACACTGAATCTGCTGGTACCTTGATCTTGGACTTACCAGCCTCCAGACTGTAAGAAACAAACATACTGTTTTTAAGCCACCAAACCACCCCAGTGGGTAAAGAGTATTCTGTTATAGCAGCTCAAATGGACTAAGACAGAGGTCAGACTACTTTTTCTACTCTTTAAGACTTAAAATGTTAATGCTGGCTGACTGTTAAAAAAAGCAATTCTCTCCCCCACCACTCAAACTGCCCTCCCTCCTTAAGCCAGAA